AGAGCCAAAGCATTATAGAGAAAGAACAAAGTTGGAAGTATCAGGCTACCTGATATCAAATTATACAAGGATATAGTAATCAAAATGATATGGTACTGGCACAAAAACAAATACCGTATTTGCCGGCGTATAAGACGATTTTTTGGCCCTGAAAAATATGCCTCCAAGTGGGGGGTCGTCTTATACGCCAGGTACACTTCAGATAGACTGCCCATAGTGCTTGCCCCGTGCCATAGTGGCCTCCCGATGCCCGCCCACTTCATTCCACATACCGTTCAGGCATCAGCAGCGCTGCTGGGTGTATGCTCGGCTGTTATGCGATTTTGCTGTTATGCGATTTTACCACACTCGCAAAATCGCACACAGCCGACCATACACCCAGTATGATAGCGCAAAATCACGAATCGCGATACCATACTGGGTGTATGGTTGGCTGTGTGCGATTTTGCGAGTGTGGTAAATTCGGGTTACCGTATATTTCTTTACATATGCATTGAAGATTCGCGATTTTGCGCTATCATGGTGCCTGTTAGAATGTTGAAGAGCTCGCACTTGCGCACTAGTGAGGTCCCAGGGAGATGCTGATGCAAGGGTGGACCAGACTGCTATAGTGACAGGGCGGGCAAACAGGGAGCAGGGACCAATTTGCTAGGGACTTGCCCGGCACTTGCTCTCTACCTCTATTTGTTATCTTACTTCTATCATTGACAGTCCCTCTAGGTTGTGGGCTGCTTGCCTGTGTTCCTGAGAAGCATCTACGGTACCAGTCTATAGAGTGTGTTTTCTTTAGTGAATTACCGGTATGTTTACCGGTAATAAACTTGCACTGTTTTATGTATATGTTTGATTACATACAGCCTTGTGACAGTTTTCCTGCATGTCATAAGCATTTGAATATAAATTAAAATGTTAAAATCAAATCTGATATTGTTTTACCTTTTATTTGGTGTGTGGAAGGTGTGCGGAAGAGGGGGTAGTCTTATACGGTGAGTATATTACAAACTCTGTATTTTGAGTGGAAATGTTAGGGGGTCGTCTTATACGCCCAGTCGTCTTATACGCCGGCAAATACGGTAGATTAATGTAATAGAATAGAGAACTCAGAAATAATTTACAACAAAGGAGGTAAGAATATAAAATGGGATAAGGATAGCTCTTCAATAAATGAACAGATATATGCAAAAAGAATGAAACTAGATCACTGTCTTACACCAATAAACTCTTACAAGAATAAACTCAAAATGGATTAAATACTTGAACGTAAGAACTGAAACCATAAAACTCCTAGAAGAAAAATAGGCAATAAACTCTTTGACATCACTCTTAGTAATATTTTTTTGGATATGTCTCAACAGACAAGGGAAATAAAAAATCTCTATATATAAAAGCCTAAGCGACTGGTCAACCAGATGACCAGCCGGTAGCTATGATGTGCACCAACCACCAGGGGACAGATGCCTAACGCAGGAGCTGCCCCCTGGTGGTGAGTGCTGCTCAGCTGATACCGGTGCAAGATTCGGGGCTCACAGCTGGTGAGCGCACAGCTGGTGAGCGCAGCTGCGACAGTGCTACCAGGCAACAGTGGCAGGTGCAGTGGGGCCAGGATGAGCAGGAGCGATGTCCCAGTCACCTGACCTCTAGTATATACATAAACAAGTGGGACTATATCAAACCGAAAAGTTTTTGCACAGTGAATGAAACCATCAACAAAAACAAAAAGAAAATCTACTGAATGAGAGAAAATATTCGCCTATGATATATCCGGCAGCGGTTCTCAACCTGTGGGTCACGACCCCTGAAAATACATCCTGCATATCAGATATTTACATTATGATTCATAACAGTAGCAAAATTACAGTTATGAAGTAGCAACAAAAATAATTTTACGGTTGGGGGTCACCACAACATGAGGAACTATATTAAAGGGTCATGGCATTAGGAAGGTTGAGAACCACTAAAGGGGTTAATATTCAAAATATTTAAGAAACTTATACAACTTAACACTGAAACAACAAACGGATTAAAATATGGACAGAGGTTCCAAATAGACATTTCTCCAAAAAGGACAGACAAATGGCCAACAGACATATGAAAAGATGCGCAACATCACTAATCATTAGGGAAGTGCAAATTAAAACCACAATGAGATATCACCTCACACCTGTCAGAATGGCTATCATCTATCAATAAATCCAACAAACAACTGTTGGCAAGGGTGTGGAGAAGAGGGAATCCTTGTGCATCATTGGTGGGAATGTAGGTTGGTGCAGCCACTATGGAAAACAGTATGGAGGTTCCTCAAAAAGAATTAAAAATAGAACTCCCATT